CCTTCAGACCTGCCAAGCCCAGCAAGGAGGCAGCCTAGTCACTGTCAGCCTATAGCAGCTTTGCTGAGCTGCTGTGGGCCCCTCCCCGCTGCTGAGTGAACTTTCCTGCAGTCCTGTTTATATGGGTGTAGTTAGAACTGCTTTGGAGATGGTGGCCTGCCTCTATTGAGGCGGAGTCTCTTTGCTGTGGCTGGTTGCCTTGGCCACGGCGGGGCTGCCTCAGCAATGGCGGGCTGCCTTGGCAACAGCGGGCTGCCTCGGTAATGGCGGACGCCCCTCCCCCACAGAGCTGGACCTTCCTGGGTTCAGCTGCGCTTGCTGTGAAACTCTCAATCCAGAGTTTCTGGTTGCTGTTCTTTTGTGGGGGTGGGACCAGCCGACCCTGATCGCCTGGCTCCCTGCTTCAGAGCCTTTTTTAAGCTGGTGATCCAGTCGCCTGTTGAAGAGACTCCAGGGTCTGTTTGTTTTCCCCTGCGGCCACTAACTGCCTTGGCAGAAACAGCGGCACTGAAGTTTGTGGCGCTTTTTTTTTTTTTTGGCCTGGAATCTACTGACCTGGTTCTCTGCTCAGTCCCCTTTTTGAACCGGCGAATGGGCGACTTCCCGTGGCTCCAATTGCCAGCCAAAGGGGCAACCGGACTGGTGTATTTTGTACAGAGAACCGCTGCTCCGGGGCGCCAACAAAGCAGCCACGCGGGGCAAAACAGCGGTGCTGGCCGGCACAGCCGAGCTTTCCGAAAGAGCTGCGCTGGTGACCCTGGAGCTCCTCCGCCCGGGAATTTCCTAGTCTGTGCCCAATAAAAATGCGGCGTCAACTCACGCTCTGCGCTTTCACTGGGAGCTGCAATCTTGAGCTGTTCCTAAAGGGTCATCTTGGATCGTCCCCCCAAGAAAGGATTTCTTAACTGATGAACAGACACATCAGTTTAACTCTTTAAGTTGATTGTACAGCTTGACAACCATTCTGCTAGATAGTTGCGTTTTTGTTTTAGAACAAGATATTTCTCATTACAGCCTATACTCCCATTAACTCTGGAATATCCAAACGAAGCTTTTAGAAGAAACTTGTTTCTAACTCGCTGAATCTAAACATAGATGCAATTTCCTAAGGGGAACAAAGACAAAGCAGAGCAGTTTGAAATGCACTTTTCTCCTGTGTTTTAAACGGAGTCTTACTGGTAGTTCTTATATGAATACATATGGCTGGAAATATCTCTTTCCAAATTCCCCAAAGAAAGAATTTCTGAACTGCTGCACACACACATCAGTTTAACTTTGTAAGTTGCACACCTTGACAACCATTTAGCTAGAAAGCTGTGTTTCCGTTTTAGAGCAAGAGATTTCTCATTACAGTGTATACTACCATTCCTTCTGGAATATCCAAACGCAGCTTATAGAAGAAATTTGTTTCTAACTCGCTGAATCTAAACTTAGATGCAACATACTAAGGTGAACTAACACAAAGCAGAGCAGCTTGAAATAGACGTTTCTCCTGTGTGTTCAATGCAGTCTTACTGGTAGTTTTTATATGAATGCATACGGCTGTAAATGTCTGTTTCCAGATTCTCCAAAGAAAGGATTTCTGAACTGCTGCACACACACATCAGTTCAACTCTGTAAGTTGATTGTACAGCTTGACAACAATTCTGCTAGATAGCTGCGTTTTTGTTTTAGAGCAACATATTTCTCATTACACCCTATACTCCCATTCCCACTGGAATTTGCAAACGCAGTTATTAGAAGAAACTCGTTTCTAACTCGATGAATATAAACATATTTGCTACTTCCTAAGGTGAAGGAAGACAAAGCAAAGCAGTTTGAAATAGTCGTTTCTCCTGTGTTTTAAATGCAGTCTTACTGATAGTTCTTAAATGCCTGCATATGGCTGGAAATATCTGTTTCCAGATTCTGCAAAGAAAGGATTTCTGAACTGCTGCACACACATATCATTTTAACT